CACTTTGGGCAGCAGCAGTCCCAATTTGAGTCTTGATATGGATTCTTAGCTTTCAAAGTGGAGAAAGTTCCTCAGCAGCAGCTGTAAATGTTGCTTCTGTCATTCATCTCGGATCCAAGTTGATCCTTGTTGGGATTCACCCCATCCTGGCACATCATAGCCAAGCTGGGAGGTGGAACCCATGACTTTCCCAGCACTTACCGTGTTTCCGAAAACCTTCCATCTAACATCCCACACACAAACTCTCACTCCAGGAATCTGCTTCTCTTCCTCCCTCTTCTTCCTAATTCTCTTCTAGGAATTACCGATGACTCATTCTGACCAGATTAAATGACCGCCAAGGGAGAGAAACTCTTGCGTTGCTAAACAATTGAGAAACTTACTCAAAGCAGATGATGCATTACAAAAATAAAGAAGTAAAAGTCTGCATAGAGCCGAGTATCAGCTCATTGCTCAATCCACACAAGAGGAATGATCATAGCAGCTTCTCTAAAGTCATCGTGACCCACTCTCAGTTCAGACTGTCTTAATTTCATATCTTAATTTGTGGAGACAAAAAAAGAGAACTGCTACATACACAAAAACGCATTAACAAAGGCACCATTAACAGCAATTTCTATACATTTTAAAATGTTTGCTGACATATTTAAACCTTCCTATAAACTAGGGTCTGTGCAGATCGTATCTCACAGGGCTTTTTCTTCTATAATTCCAATTTTTTTATGACTTTATCCATCAGTTTGTTCCTAATGATGTCACACCATTTTATATTTCTGCCTTGATTGGAACTTTTTAAAAATGCAAATAGTTTCGTGACCCAGGGGATCCCAGTTAAAAGTACCCAGTGCCACCTCCTGATCATTATTGTCATGGGTATCACACAGCATTAGAGGAGGGGAGGGGTACTCTGTCAGTCATTTAAAGAGTAAAGCCTCACTCTTTGCCATCCAGATGGAGAACTTACCAGACTGGAAGCTATTGGAAAGTCACTGGCTCTACCTGAGACAGCTGGGGTGCACCCTGGTTATGCCACATATGAAAAGGAGAGCTAATACTTCTATACTGCAAACCCTTGAATACCCTCCTCGGAGTGAGGAAAACTCCACCTGCTGATATGACTGCCCAATGTGCTTGTAAAAGTTGTTACCTTTGGTCCTGAAACACAGGGTAGCAACTGTTTGCTCCTCCTGTCACATGCCAGCATGCCCCAAGCATAGCATGTGGGAAACAGTTTGCTTTAACAGCTTGTGATGTGTTTTTAACTTTAGCTGTTTTTACTTGTTTCCTGTTTGTATACAGCCTATTGTAAAAGATTCTTTAGGCACAGCCAAGTGGCACACGGTTTCCACTTTGGTGGCCTAAAGATTACATCTCTGCTCTTTGGAGATAGATGTGAGACCATGGTCTTCAACAGGAACAGGGTGGAGTGCTCACTCTGGGTCAGAGGCAAGTTGTTGTCCCAAGTGAAGGAGTTTAAATATCTCAGGCTCTTGTTCACCAATGAGGAGGGGAGAGCCAGACATTGACAGACAGGTCAATGCAGCAAGAATTGGGATGCTGTACTGCTGTATTGTGATGAAGAAAAAGCTGGGCATGAGGGCGAAGCTGTCAATTTATGGGTCAATCTCCTTTCCTACCCTCACCTATGGCCACAACCTGTGGGTAGTGACTAAAAGAATAAGATGCAATACAAGTGGAAAAATGAGTCATCTGAGGTCATCCTCAGAGATAGGGTGAGGAGCTCTGTCAATCAGGAGGGACTCAGAACAGAGTCAGGCGGGATCCCGGGAGGATGCACCAGAGCAGATCGAAACAGTGGAGCGCATGGTTTATCCACTGCTGGATAGTGACATGCTGGAAAGATTATGTCTGCGGATTGGTTGGTTGTATTTTGAATTCGGTTATTTTATATTGGGGTCAGAGTGACCCAGATTAGTTTCATCATAGAAATACAACTGAAATGTTTACTTGAAACTATTGAAAATAGAGATATTTGAATGAAAACATGGTAAATAATCTTTAAAGCAATAGTGTGGATTGTACTTTGGATAAAAGCTCTAAGTTTTTAAGACTTAAAGAAAAGTTAAAGCTTTCTGCTGTACAAAATATGAAAATAAATAACACTTTGAGAATTATTATTTTTCTATTATATTTGCCTCTTGCAGTAAACTATTCTTTGGGGATCTCGAGAGACCCCAGTTGGTAGTCCCTGTATGTTAAATATGTCGGTAGGATGCAGGTCAAGTCGTCATTGGCTTTATTGTTCTGGATAACAGATCAGGAAATCCTCTTCCTGTTCACTCTGCAGCTTTTGATGGATAAATGTCCTGAAATTATAACAAACTTCCTGTTGCCGACCTCTCATGGGCGATGGGAAAATATTCAAATGATTAAATCCACAGTGTTGACCTGCTTCGATTTCACTGGCTCAGCCAGATATCCACCTCCTCAGCCTCTGTCCAGATGTTCTGTCTCAGCCTGTGGTTCGTGCTTCCAAATCCAGGCTTGCAGTGGATAAAACGTGTACTCCGCTGTTTTGTTTAACTTGATATATTGGCTTGCAATGTAATACACTTTTATCCCACGTAGCTCCCTGAATCAAAGGTCACTCTGAGTGAAGGGCTGAAGATTAACGTGATTAATAAAGTGAATAATGATTGTTTTAGCAATAAAACATCTGGAGAAAGGAACATCAAAACCAAAGTGCTTTGTTTTTTGTCAGAGCAACCAAGATAATGGTCAATATGAAACTTAGAGTAGGTGTTTCTGAACTGAAAAAGTACATCTTGAAGACATCAAAGCAGATAACATCTTCACCATAATATCTGGAAGGTTTTATTAGCTGACATTTGTAATTTGCAATATACTTAACCGTGTCTATGAGACATGATGATGGCTTACTGTTACAATCCATCACAACTAAAATTAGAGTCCAGCCAATTTATCAGTGGAGCAATTAACTATTAGCTGATCTGTTATTGGCGTCATTTGTAACAGCAGATAAAAATAAAGAGGAGATGGGAGAAGCACGCTTCGACCTTGCTCACAAGTACTGATGTTGTGCAGTTTGTTCACCAGTTTGTACACCTCTGATAGACTGTTCACATGCGGGCAGAACTGGACAGTAAATAAATAAATAAATAACTAAACATAACAAGCATCAGAGAAATCTGTTTGTTTGGGGATTTTTTTTTGTCTGTCTGAAGTTAAAATAAATTATTATTTAATATATTGGAATATCAGATTTGTAAATCACCATATACTGGAATCAGACTTAAAAATCCTATATCTGTCAGTTATGACTAAAAGTTATGTGAATAATTTTATACATTGCTTCATTTCTATATGAATTGGCTTCCTTTGCACTTTTCACACTGTACTGCTTCTCATCTTGGCCAGGACATCCCTGTAAAAGAGATTTTCTAATAATAAAGATTTAAAAAAGGACCCCCAAGTTGACCAAATGATAAATTTAAGCTACTTTGCATTGTCCAGCCTCTTCCTCCTCATCTTTAAACGTAATAAAAGTCCACCTTGTTTCCTCACTCGGCTGCAAGTGTAATCGATATTTCTGCTGGAAACTCCAGCTGTGCTTAAAAATAAAGCCTCAAAAGAAGCCAAAAACTGCAGTAGTTCAACAAAATTACAAGAAACCACAGCACACTTTAAAATACAAAAAAACAAATTCTTAGAGGAGACTTATAGAAATGTACAGTGTTGTTATGGCCTGTTAAACTCACTAATTATCTACTTTGAACTGATATTTTTATTAAAAGTTGCTCATGTAAAGGTTCTTACTGATTTCTTGAGTTTGCCTTGTTTGTAAAGCCATACAAAAAAGCTCAACGTTCACCATTGTGAGGAAAACACCAACTGCAATGTGCCAGATCATCATTGCTGCCAATTCACACTGTGCAGTGTTTTAATCAATGTAATTCTAAAATACAGCGTCCCATTAACATCCATGCACCAACCATGTAAACAATGTATAAATATATTTACTGTAAAAAACAACAACAAAAAGATTCTACATAGAGCACAAAAATGACATCACCTGCATAAGATTTGAACTCGGTATCATTTTAAGTAAAGGAATCAGTTTTATGAAGCCCAAACTAAAAAAATCATTATCATAATAATAATGTAATCATCATCATCATACAGTGGCCAACTTTCATTTTGATGTCAAAAATGAATTTATATGACAGAATATATGAGGTAGATTATACACATCGGAGGGATATGTAGGCTATTGCACTCTTTTTGGAGTGCATACGCAACACATGCCCGGAGAGACAGAGTTTTCAACTCTTCAGATGGAATTGGCTCCACCCTTTCCCTCCTCCTCAGACATAGAGGATGTTGGAACTCAACTCCAAAATGTTCACAGCAGAGCGTGACGGAGCTCTCCCGAAAAGTATATTTCTGATAAAAAATTTAAAAAAATCCCCGCGTACAAATATCTGACAGGAAAGAACTAAATAAATGTTTGTAACATGGATAAACAGAATAAATATTACAAATCAGTCCAGATTGGAAATATGACTGTGTTGGTCTCCGAAGACCGCAGGGACGCATGGTCTTTATGAATAAAGTCTGGTCTTTATCCGTAATCAGACAGAAACGATACAGAATCTGTGCGTTCACCAAAAATAATGTTGGAGACTTTCCCTCCACTCACCTCAGCTTCTGTCAGATCCACACACAAGTAGAGAGCCGCCAGCATTAAGAGCGAGCCGGACGGTAACAGCATCGTGGCTGTGCGCCGTTGGAAGCTTTGCGCGCAAAAGTTGTGCAGAGTGCCCACAAAAACAGCCTTCTTCCTCCAGGTAATTCAAAGTTTATCGGCAGCACACGGACAGCACGTTTTGCTGCATCTTTGTCCGAGGCGTTATGAGGATCTGATCAGTGTAACTTGGTCTTGTTTGTGATGCACCACACCCCCCACCCAAAACGACCACCCTCGCTCATGCAAAGGGTTTCCACCTTGCTTTTACAAACACTCCGACTCTTCTCGGTAAGCAGAGGGGCTAGTCGGCACACATTTGTGCTTTTGCAAGAATATTTGAGGAGGTTTTCGTGGAACATAAAGCTGATCTTAAACTTTTCAAACGGGGAACCTGGGCATCTCGTGATACCCAACTTTTTTCCTTCGTCTAACCATCGCACAGAGACCGGAGTGACCGTAAGTGCATTTTACGAAAACTGGAACTGAGTGTGAAAGTGCTAAAAATGAATGAATATTGATACAGAAAGTCTCATATGTATGCACTCGTGATTAACCAGAGTTATTAACGTCGTGCGTCTCCGCTGTGCCTCAGGTCGGACAGTCATGCTGTAAAGCGTGTTCACGTGAAACTGTGTGGGACTTGAGTTTGCGGTCCGCGTGAGTGGGGACCATGCAAGAACAACACGGGAGAGGACAGAAAAACCTGAGGTAAGCACAGCGTGAAGGCAGCACATGATTACCACATGATTCATTGATCAGGATTTTTACGCGTTTTTTATTTTTTATTAATTTTTAAATTATTATTGTGAACAGGCTGCTGCTTCTGTGCCTCGTCGTTGCCATCCTCTCCTCAGAAGTGCACGCAGTAAGTTTAAATTTCACGCGATCTTTTCATTTCTGATTATGAGAGTTCACTTGACATGTGCAATCTGTAGAATTAAAGCATAAGCGTCATGCTGATTGCGTCTCTCGACTTGGAAGTTGCTGTCTGAAGCAGCAGAAACGCGCAGACCTCGGTGTGTGAACAATGGGCGTGTCAGCACCAGAGGGTTTCTCCGGTAGGAGGGATCTTGGCAAAGAGCATTTTCAGTGGGATTACTGGTGTCGCAATTTTAAAAGTTTAAATTGGGACAGCCACATTTTTGGCTTTTGCAAAACAAATAAACAGGAATAGGATTAAAATATGGGCATATGGTATGCTTTTCTTGACCCCGGATTGAGAAGTGGGGCCATGACCTCTGCAAGCAGGATGATGCTGAGTATGAGCTTTATGGGTTTAAATGTGTCACTTTGTGTCCATTTCTTTTTAATTAATCAAGAATACACCATCACCACCACCACTGCAGCCCATAACAGATTCATTACTTTAATGATAAATGCTATACAGCACATTTTAATCATAGTGGATCTACATGTTATACATTAAAAGGCTTAAACTATGAAAAATTAAAAAGTCAGAGCTTTTTCACAAGGCTATTACTACTACTACTACTATTTCAAGTGTCTGAATCTGCTATGGCCCAATAAGATCATGCACACAGAGGGGCATGAAAACTCCAAAACCTGCAGTCAGTGTACAGTCAGCTCTACTACCAGATTATTCCTCAGGTAAATAGTGACTGTAAAGGGATCCCTTCCTAATGCTGCTCTGCTATTACGAAATCTGGGGTAAAAGCCACAAACCTCAGCCTCTGCTTTGAGTTGTCTAAAACAAATATAAAGTTTCATCAGGTTTAACTATAAGCAGAGCAACTTCCTAAGAGCTGTCATTTTATCTTAAGCCTATGAAACTCAGTGGTGCAGGAAGCACTTTTTAAAATTATCCTTGTGGTTCTGTGGTAAAGTTTTAAACACTGCTTCATCATTTCTGCGTGTGTGAGGTCTTGACATTGGACATGACATGAATGTCAGCATCTGCACTTTTATTCTTTGGTCAGTGGGGCCCCATTCTGTGGATCCTCCGTGGACTTCCATGTCCACGGAGTCCAGAATTTGAGATCGAAGACAGGAACTATCATTCTTACTGTCCTACTCCTAGATGTAGACGTGCAAATCTGATCTGCACCTGGCTGCTAACACGGGCAAGGAAGCATCTTCACACTTTAACACGCCTACGAGTGAACACCATCACCCAGATTTTCCAGAGCCAAAGTATAGCCTATAAAAAAAATCACAACAACAGTTGCCTCAAGGGGCGAAGACTCCACAATAACACATATTACTTTTCTTTCTCCAGACTTTGTGCGGTCTGCTTTATTTTTTCTTTCATTGTTTAAAAACCCAAATTAAAAGTTGAATTTTTTTTACGCTTGTGAGTTTTGCACATTTTGTTTGCACTGCATTTATCTGGAACTAGAGCTGCTGAGCTGGGAGCTGAGACAAAGTGAATGTGTTTAGACGATAAAGGTGGTTGGTGAGTTCATTTTCAAAGATCAGAGCGTGGGTTCAAATCCCAGTGAGAGCAAGCTGTCCCTGATTAGCTTCTGGAATAAGACACACAACAATTTAACGAATCACATTTTCTTAACTTAATCTTAAATGCAACTGTTATAAAAAGCACCAAATCATCACTTTGCAGAGTAAATTTAAAAAACTTTCATTGTTGGTTAATTTGGCCTTTTTAAAAACCTTTTTAAAACGTTTTGCAACTTTCATTTTTTTTTACAGTGCACCATTGGGATGCTGAGTCCATGTGCACACTGTTTGTGTAAGCGTTCAGCACGCGTGTGTGTCTGTGTGTTTCTTTTGACTTCAGCTGGCGCATGATATCAGATGTTTGGCGGCTCTCTGAGTTTTTTAATATCAAACTCAAGGCACTCAGATAAAAGGTTATTTTATCGAGTGATGAAAAGGTCCCGTTGTCTTTCGCTTTTATCAGATTTGGTCAGGGCTTGATTAGAAGCGTGTGACACGGCTCAGCTCCTCTGTGTATTGCCAGGCTTTTTCTCCGAGGCAGGGATGCTGGGCTACAGCCGGCTAATTTTAGTTTGACAATATCCATGTTTTCTTTGCAGACGAGTAAACTGGATAAACAGTTTGCAATAAACATTTTTTTGAGGCGAAATATTTCCATCTTCAAACATTACAGAAGTTTTTGAAAACATAGTAAGGAGTCACTGTCAGTAGCTATAGCTTGTAGGTAATGAGGTGTTTGAAGATATTTCACATCTTTCGAGGTTTAGGGGAAACGGTTACCAACTACATGTCACTATGATGTTTTCCATTTGACACGGAATTCCCCAAATCTCAGCTAGATCTGGAAAAATATGTTTCTGTTTAATATTATATGAAAATCGCACCCTCGGGACTATTTCACTCCTTTAAACAAAATCATTGTACAACTGATTCCCACCATCTGTCTCCATGTTACGTTTGCACTTGGAATTCCCCGGCCTGTTAAAACTTTGGTACATGAGATTTCGTTTGCTATTCCCAGAGTTTTTGTGTTTTTCTGCTTGCAAATAAGCAGATTTCCTTAAGTTGTGGTGTGACTAAAGGCAAAGGTATGCTAAACCAGCAAACGTTATACTCAGTGGTGTTGTGTTAGCTCCCTGATAGAGGAACGTGGGCGTGATCTAATTTGCCATGATGATAAAAGCATACATTCTGAAAGTCACTGCTGCAAATCATTCTTACCTTTCCATGCAATTGAAGTGCATTATTTCACAATCTGTCTTAGGGCTGTTCGATATAACGATATATATCGGATGACGATATAAAAACGTCTATGTTTCATTTTACGCTATCGTTTGTTTTGTGGTGTTGCAAAATAAACTGTTTACGGCAATATTTTTTCATCGTTTTGATGGTCACTATATTAATTTCTTAAAGTTCTCTCTTTCTCTTGTATTTTATATAACCACACTACAGACAGACAAGTGCCTGTTTTTATGCGTTGTGGTTAGCAACAATGACGGTAACAGCATCGCGTGTCCGCTTGTTTATGTTCCACATAAACCTTTCACAATAAAGCTCAAGATCCTGTTGAGACTTTTCAAAATAAACTGAATCACGTGAAAGAGCAGATTATTTCCGGATGAGAATTTAAAAAAAGAGCCGCCAGGTGCTAAAAAATAAACCTTAGACTCAAACGTTAGAACAGGCTTTTCCCCGCAGCACGCCGTGTAATAAATACTCACAAAGAAAACGGTGGCCGTTACAACTTATGTCTAAAAATGCATAGTTTCATGCATTGGTTAAAACACTCGACTCCAGCTACATGACGCGCTGTAATGAGAAACCGCAAGCTTGCAGCGAGCGAACAGTTCTTATTCATCAATATAAGGTTTAATCAAAAATGTTGGCCCTTGAAAAATCAAAAACCTTGCCTGATCTAAATTTGACCACTTGTTCAAGATCTCCTACTCATGCACCTCTGCACAGTTTCCAGAACAGCTGCTATTTATAGATCACTCCACAGAAGTCCTGTTATTCTCCTGTGTACTTGTGGCTCTGTAGTGCACGCTGTATCTCCTTCAGTGTGTCAAACCAATGATCCTTCCACTCATTCACTTTCGAAATATACCAAGTGGCAGGGAAGAGAATCTTAAAAAGGCACCCGAATTCAGACTGTTTCTGCTGAATGTTCTCCCCCAGATGCCTCAGGACATTAGAGTGAATGTCAGGCAAAACAGCGAGCACATTTGATGACTGTGGTGAAAACACACAACATGTAGGTCAAGTGGAAGTGATCTAAAAATAGCATCTGTGCTGGAGGTTGTCTGGACATGTCTGAGAAGGAGATCGTGAAAGAGGGATCACCCAAGTTAAGGTTTTTGAGTTTTAGGGGCCACTGTTCAATTTTTTTAAAATCACATTTCATATTTTTTGTTGAGTTTTTTTTTTTTATTACTCAGTAAGTGCTTCTTCAAGATCCAAAGATTTAGGTTACCTAACATCAGTGTGTGAACACAAAGCCTAAAGGCCCCTCCTAGGTAGTCGCCTTAATCCACCCTGCACTGCTTTTGTACAGCTTTTGCTTTTATATTTCTCCTTGGAAGTCCTGCATCTCCAGTGTCTTCAGACATTTCAAATTTAATTCACTTTGTGGAAAAGAAAAAAGTTGCAGGGAGCATAATCTGGCTTCTGGTGACCACAGTTCAAGATCTTCGAACACAACGTTGTCCCTCAGATGCCTCTAGAACAGTGGTGTCAAACATAAGGCCCAGAGGCCAGAATCAGCCTGGAAAAGACTCCAATTTGGCCCAGAGGATGATTTAGGAAAAATGTGAAGAATCTCATAAAGTTTGGACCTTTATACAGCCCAGCCATTCATACTACACTGAAGGAATTAATTTAAAATATCCACTATAAAAAAACCTGTATTCTTGTTTTGTTTTAACTATGGGTCTGCAGTAAGTTTATTTCTTACAATGTAGTCCCAAAGAGTCATCCTGACTGATTTCTTTTTTTACTGCAGCAGCATTTCTTCATCATACAGAAAAACTGAGATTTAATGTTGAAATTAAACCTTTTCTTGTTTTAAGATATCTCAAGGATTAAATTTGTAGATAAACTTCTTTAGACTGACAGAAAGGGGAATTTCATTGGTTCACTCCACGTACAAAGTGAGCTATACATGAGCCATGATGTAAAATGAGTTTGACATCCCTGCTCTAGAAGTACAGTAGGTCACCACTGTGACATATTCATGTCAAAAACAATGCTGGCTCCAGCATGCTGGAGGTCTTACTCTTGGTCTGATGGCCACCTTCGGGCCTAGCCACTGAATATCCACTCATTATCACTGTGATCCACAAAGAGATGATCAGTCAGTTTGACACAAAAGTTCATATTACCTCCCTGCATTAGTTTGAGATCTCAAGCAAGTGGACAAAAACAGGACTTCTGTGGAGTGATTTGGAAGTTGTCCAGAGCTGCACCTGGAGATGACCTTGAAGGGGAAACTTCAAAACACTGGCACAATAATTATCAAAATAGCCCATTTGGAGAGACTGATGCATGCCTGTGCATTTATTGCATTTTATTGCATCTAATCTCATTTTAAATATCTTTGGACAACACATGTCCTCTCACCTTGCACGGGGACAGTTTCTATTTTCATGAACTGGACATGGAGGTCACATCCTTTGGTGGAAAAATTTAACTTCCACACTTATGAGTGCAAAAAAAAGAATTGCGCGGGCAGTCACTGCTACAGCCCCGGCTTCTTACATGCAGATAAATATTGCGCACAATTTTTTTTTAATCCAGATCTGCTGGTGGAAGAAGGAAGGCTCTTGAGAGAGTAATGTTAACAGGATGTTTCAAATACGTCCCTTTGAGAGGGTTTCATTCCAGGGTGTTTGAGTATATATTTCAACATGTGATGGAATTCGGGGGCTGATGCTGGCAGAGGATGCGTGACTGTGTAGGAGACATCTTTGGCCCCACACTGCTGCGGTACCTGGAAGCCCAGCAGTACCATCTGCTTTTCCAATTACCCCCTCTTTTTCACTTATACTTATACAGCCATGACAGTCAAGGAAAGGTTTTAAGCTTGCTATAAATGACTGCCACGTGACTGAACTGCGGACACGTGACTGACCTCTCAAGTGGGATTGTTTCACGGGAGAGGAAGGTGGGTGTCCGGGCCAGGAGAAGATGTCTGCCTGTGATAAGTTTGAAAATATGGCTAACACATCCACTGCCAAAATAGCGCCTTTGACATAGAAGGTGCCCGGCTGTAACAATCGGGGGAAGAGCCCATTGTGCTGGAAGCAGGAAGCCACAGTCTCAGATGAGAAGTCCATGTGTGGGGCTTCCCTGTCACAGCTGTGTGTGTGTGTGTGTGTGTGTGTGTGTGTGTGTGTGTGTGTGTGTGTGTGTCTCATGTGCCAAGAAAGATTGAAGCAGAGGTGACAAGTGGTTTCCACATCTCGTGACCTCCCTGCCTTTGTATGGTGTTGGGTTCGTGTTGATAGGCAGACATGTGCGTGTGTGCTCACATGTGAGTGGATGCAGAGTACGTGGGTCTTTTGTTTGCTTAAGTATTGTTTCCTCTGAAGTTGGCCTTACAAAAATGTGGCTTTATGTTGGTGATTGTTTTATTAGCCTTTGCATTTGTGCATTGTAAGCATGAGGAAAGCTCTGGTGCGCTTGGCTGCTTGCACCACTGGTGTTCAGCTTTCCTTCGTAAACAGGAGAGCAGAGTGGTAGACGATTACAAGGACAGTGAATAAGTATGAAGGAGATGCTTGTGGGGCGGTGGAACATGTCTTAAATTAGTCAGACAGTTTGCTATCTCTCGTTGGCAGGAGTGTGTGAATGTGTGAGACTAAAGTTTTTTCTCACACGTTCGATTTTATGGGAAACATCCTGAGTTCAGAATCGAGCGAAGAGAAAATAGATGATCCAGAGAAGCTCTAAACAGGAAAAGCAAGCCGGGTGGAGCTGAATATGTCAGAGTTTCTTTACGGCCCTGCTGGACCCCACATAGTTTCGGGACTCCAGAGTTTATAAAAAACATATTCGCAGCATAAATTCTGTCCTGTTCATGCTTTACATTACGCATCAGGCAAAACAGAAGAGGAGTCTGAGTTAGTAGTGTGAAGATTACTTTATGGTTAATAAACTACTGTGAGAGTTTTGAAACAAATTCCCAATCCAAGGAATTCTCTCACTCTTTAAACACACTTAAATCACAGTTTGTTTGTAAAGTAGGCCGAAAAAAATGATGTTTTTTTCTGAAATATTCATGTGGTGATTTCAGTTTTGAACACCGATCCATGCTGCTTCACTGACTTTCCAGACCTCTCTTAATAAAAACTAAGGTCACTAAACTGTGGGAAAATGTGAAATGACTTAAATTACTTGTTTACTAAGTATACATATGCATATAAAGGTTGTCTTATACCGACCTTCGATGCTTTTGTTGGCACAACAAATTTTTAAATTATGTTTGTGTTTGATTATTTAGACGTTTAAATGACGAAGAAGTTCAATATACAAGCCACGCTACATAGGGATACCAGTGGTTTGATTACATGGATAATCACCAGTCATGCTTCATTTTCATCCCAGTCATGCGTGACAGCGTGCAGACAGACCCGACTCGTGTACACTACAGTGCAGACTCGAACACAAACTCGCTGTCGTTCTGTATTCGTCAGATTTTCTCACAGATCTACAGTAGCATTCACAAATGGTTTATTCTGTATCTCCAGATGCCTCCAATATATTTACTGTGGAAGTACAGTATATTCTAAAATTTGGCCCAGTAATAATACTGTCTGTATAAGATTATGCCACAGAGGAAGCAGTACCATAAGAAAATGTTTAGATATCAATTCAGTTTGGATGTGGTCTCTGGAAAGTCCCTATACACTGTGCATATATCTTCCCTGTCCTTTGCCCCTTACTCCATCTTGCAGTGATTAATTGAGGGGCACAGGGGTCCAATCAGGCTGTGCTGAAGGAATTCTAAAGCCTTCGTCCTCCCAGAATTCATCCTCTCAGTATAACTCTGTCCCTAACTTCCTTTTATAGCCTCATCCAGCTCCTGGTTTTCATCTCCCTTGTCTTCTGTCTCCTCTCTTCATCCATCTCTGAAAGGGACCCTTGCCAGGCAGTTTGTCCTCGCTCTTCCTCTCAGAGCTTGTCTTCTTCACATTTCATCTCCCACCCCCTTGTGCCCTCCTCCTACATTTGTCGTCTGTCATGGTTGGCTGTGTGGCAGGCAGGCAGGAGTGGTGGACCCAAAATGCAGGACTCTTTGGAGACGAGATTTAAACTGAAAACGCAGCTTTATTGCTGGACAAACTTATACATAAAATAA